GTGTTTTAAAGTAAAAGCCGAGAAATATTCAATAGTTCGCCAAATTCAACACAGGAAAACTTAAAATCGATTCAACGCGTGTGAACCTGTATAACCCATCCAATGAAACTTCCACAAGCGTGTATGTTTGTATTTCAGTCAGTGAAACCTTAGCTTCGAAAGGTGCGTGCGTCTAGCATAAAAACACTTCGCTCCCATGGTATTCAAGAGTTTGCACATTTGGTTTTCTTTACTTGATCGCTCCTACATTTAACAAGCGACTGATTTTCAGATACTTTATTTATAGTCGTAAATGCTATCACCATTCTCGCTTTCTTGATTGAGGCGGCCGCAGCCCTCGGGCTCTTGATCCTCTTCTGACTCTCGCGCTCTATTTTAGGTTACGTTCGTCCTGGCGGTTCAAATCGCAAGGGCCTGGTTTGGCCAAAAGATTCATAAACCCTTTCATTACGTTCGCCTTCCATCGAGGCCTCAAAATCCGAATAAACAGACCCCGAAATAGAACTACTTTCACTCGAAGTACTATCCGTCATATTTACTTTGGTCAATGTACACACGTGTGACGTATAAGGTCACATGATCAAAATCGAAGCTTTTACGGCGGATGACTCATGAAGCTGCATTCAGGAGAGTTTTCCCGGCGAAAAAAGGTACAAAGAGGCATTCGAAGCACATTATATCTGTTTCAATGCGTTACCCCAGGCATTTAGACGGTATTCCGAAAAAGTGACCTGTTAGCCGTCAGTTACGCTTTAACGTTAGATCCAACCGACCAATTTAGAATTGAATTGGTAAAAAGTGGCGCACATCATTAACATTCGTAAAGACAGAAGCCAGTGAGCGTTTAAAATTGTTTTTTACACGTCAGTTGATTGTTTCGAATGCAACACAGAATTGTGATAATACTGTATATTAAAAGCAAAAAATGCTCTTTTACTTTTGGTTAGGAATGCCTAATACTGCTATTTTTTGCAAGCTCAGGAGAAATTTAATAAATTAAATTCATGGATTCGAACAACAAAGATTTCTTAATAGCAAGCCAAAAATTTAAAGGACACAAAGAATAAATAAATTCCTGTCATTTCTGCTTCGACATGGCTTTTAATTTGTGAGGATCCTTAGTTATCTTTCTATTAGATATCATGTTATTGAGAAAAAAGTGAAAAGTCGATGATTTTCTTGCTTATTTTTTGTTTTAAGGTGACTGACCGAACAGGACAGATTTGTTCTCAAGCTGCTTTTTACCTGCTCTCCATTGTCTGGTCGCCCAAGTTTAGAGAAGTCCAAATTCAAGGGAACTATGTCAAAGGTAAGTGTCCTGAGGACATCAATTCATGTAGCATTGTCAACACTCCAGAGCAAGGTAACGATGAGATTCCAGAATCATCAGTCATCAGACTTGGGACCGTGGAGAGCAGAAACAGTCACCAAGAGCAAGATCCTACTGAGGAAGGGGAAGGAATTCCAGTTATTTATTCTCGCGATGCAAGTGATAGTCACCCACAAGAAGGTAATGTAACAGGAAGGATAGCGGATTCTATCGATGACAACCATAGATTTAACCCAAACCCAAGTTCTTGTGTGCCAGGAAGCACAGTTCACGCGAAAGTGGCCATCATTTCTTCTTTCTGTAAACTTTTTTTCATCCCCGTAATGGCAGTTATATTTTCACAAATATTTGACATTGTGCATCTCAAAAACATCTCTAACGGATTTCGAGATATAACAACTTCAAATCCATCATTTTTATACTTTATACTTCACATTGTAACGAGCTTCTTCGGTTACAATTTCGGTTGGCTCGCATGTTCTCTCGGCATGCACTGGATCGGATATGCTCTACCGTTGATGCTGGCAACACCGATTTCTGTTATCGCGCCACACCTCTGGAAAATATGTGAAAAAAAAAGCACTTCCATTACCGTGCGCACCAAAACCTTCATATTATACAATAATGGCCGCAGTGTTTCTGTGGCTTGCACAGTGCATGGTGACGACCTATTACTTGTGGAAAAGTCCCGAGGAGAAAGCAAACCGCTTGCTTTGGATTCCATCTTACAATGGTATGTATTTTTACGCCTTCATTACCAAATGATAGAGAGAGTCCAGAGATACACATTTATTTTACATGTTCTGTTACTTCAAACGTCGTCGAAGAAAAATTTTGCCTTGAAACGTTTTTCTTTTTTCTTTTTCTTTTTCCCTACAAGAATTATAGTGGATATTGATAACGACGAGGACTTAAACCCAAATCTTAAAATAGGAGAAAATAAAACTGCAAAGACATCGAATACCGAAAACAATTAAGTCAACGAGACTAAACAGAGAAAACCCAATAATAATAAGAAGAACACTACAAATATATTAATCACTACATATGGCGGGATGAATGAAGTGATCGCTTTTATCTGAGTTATATAGTCGAAACTGTAAATTTCGTGTTTTTGTTCCTTAGGTGTTTGCTTTGAACAGTACTTATTAACTTACAGACGAAACCGCCAATCTGAAAAGGAACACTCCACACAGCAAAATCTGCAGAGTAACTATTTATTCTTTTCTCCTTCCTCCTATTTAGCCGCCATTATGTTAATCTCCCAGCCATAGTTCGTCACCGAAGGTTATGAAAATTCTAATCGTATTACTCGAAGAAATATCACCTTGTCTTAATTATCATGTGGCGATGGCAGGATTTCCAAGTAAATTGCAACTAGTAGCAATTATTTAACACAGAAATTCTCACAAGTTTTGTTCTTTTTGATTGCCTCTAAAGGAGAGGATAGTCAAATGCATGTCTTCATTTGCACTACAATGTATCTCGAAAAAGACAAAGAAATGGAAGAACTTCTTCGGTCAATCATGGATGTCAACAAGAACTTACAGAACTCAAGGCACCGTTACGAATCACACGTGTTCTTTGATGGTTGTGTCGATAAAGACCGGCTGAACAGTCATGTGTTGCGGTTAGTTTATCTGGTGAAGGAATTCTTAAATTTGCCTCTCAACAGTTGTATCAAGATGAGGACCCCTTACGGAATGCAGCTAAAGTGGACAGTCCGGGATAAAATGGAGTTCACGATTCATTTAAAGGACAGTACAAAGGTGAAGAATCTTTCTTGCTTTGTAGTAATCTAAATTTCTATTGTTTAATATTAATACAGGGCAGTTAACGCTCAATTTTTTGTATTTTGGGCCAAACAAAGGTGAAGAGGAAGAAGAGGTGAAGCCAAGTAATGTATATGTCCTACATCCTGGATTATAAAATCCCTGAAGGTAAATATCAACTTTTTCATCGTATCAAATTTTTAGACTATCTTGTCATTATGATAAAATTAATCCAACCTTATATATGATTACATCTTTTTAGGGAAAGACGACCAGTGCTTCATCCTTTCAACAGACGGTGATGTTAAATTTACCTACGAGTCCGTTGAGACCTGAATTGATCGAATCTGCGAGGATACCACAGTTCATGCAGTTTGTGCCCGTACCCATCCTCTAGGCCGTGGACCCATCGTATGGTATCAGATATTTGACTATGCTATCGGCCATTGGTTTCAAAAGGTTTGTGTTGTCATTTGAGCTGCAAGATGAGTATAATAACCATATCTAGTCATTTTTATCGTGAAGACTTTTTTTCAGCAAAGCAATCGAACAGAAAAGTTATGCTTCAGGGAGATAACAAAGACACCTCTATTTCAGTCAGGCTTATAAATGTATGCAAAACAATTTCTCTATTGTTTTTAATTTTTTTTTTTTACTTTAGGTGACTAATCATATGCTTGGCACAGTCTTGTGTTGTCCTGGATGCTTCAGCTTGTATAGATGTGAGGCTTTGAGGGATGTTTTAAAAGAGTTTGCCACTCCCGCAAAAGGTCCCTTTGAATATCTTTCCAAAGACCTGGGTAAGGTTCATTCTCACCTCTTTTTTTACCTTACTCCGTTATTTATTCATTAGAACTCTTCGATAATTACATTTACTTTGTGCAAATAAAAGATTGGTAATAAAATAAATAAGTAAATAAATAATTAGTGCCTCTTATTTTCTTTTCCTCCTGGACCCACGATTGTCACCATCAACCCCCTTATACTGTAACCGTGGCATAACTATGCTCATATGTCATCATTATGCTCATATTGCTAAAATCAACTAAGTCACAACCATTTTTTAAGGGGAAGACCGTTGGTTGTGTACACTGATGATACAACGTGGCAAACGATTGACATATTGTGCTACTGCGAATAACAGCACTTACTGCCCGGAGAGCTTTGAAGAGTTTTACAAACAAAGGAGACGATGGACGCTATCTTCCCTCGCTAACTTAGTTTTGCTGATCAGCAAAGGGAGAGAAATACTGAGAAATAACAAACATGTCTCGTTTTTATTCATCCTTTACCAAACGTTCGTTGCCATTTTCTCTGTGATCGGGTAAGTTAAAAGCATTTTTAAAGTTCACATGGGTTTTTAGACATTGGCACAAGTGACTGAAAAGATAATTCTTTAATCGAGTCATATGAAGCACCAATCAATTTTTTTTGGAAATCATCCTATATTCTTGGCATCTTTATTAAAAACCGCCAAAACAAACGTTATTTATGATGGCGTGTGAAAAAAAGAGCGAAGCTTGCCTAACATAGCTTTCAAAAGATGCGCTTTTGCAATTCCTGATGATGCTAAGGGTTAAAAAATCCCAGTATTGTTTACCAAGGAATGAGAATGTCTCTTGCTTTTAGAGCAGTATGATGTGCCTTAGCTGTCGTTGCTTATTACAGCGGGCAGAATTTAGGCCTGAAACTGTAATGCAACTTAGCTAGTTTTTGTCTTTCAGATCGTCCACATTAATTCTGGTCATAGCGGGTGGAATGACACTATCAGGTGTTCCCATAAAGGAAATATACGCAGTCGCATTCCTCTGTCTGGTTTTTGTTGCTTATGTATTATTATGTCTCTACAAGCCAAAATGGCAGCTGAAAGTATCCAAGATGCTGACCTTTCTTTTCTCAGCAATTATGTGCATCATAGTAATTGGCATGGCTTCTCAAGTTTCAAAAGATTTGCAGGCGAGAAAGGTTGATCCAACTATCGGAACGATAGTGTATACGAACACATCTTTAACAGCACCAAAACTTCTGCAACACAATTTACTGGCTGCTGTGAGTTCCCTGTACTTAGCTGGATTGATAGGGGTCTTTGCCATAGCTTCTTTCTTGCATCCAGGAGAAATCCTTTGCTCTGTCTGTGGAATTTGGTATATCTTGTGCCTGCCATCTGGCTTTCTGTTGTTGACGATATACTCCATTTGCAATTTAACCGACACTTCTTGGGGTACGTTTATTATAATTTTATCATATCACTACTATCGTTGAACTCTTTCTAAAATTATTTTCATTTCCTGCACTTTGCTATTACACATCTTTATCTTTCAAGGACGCATTGATTTTTTTTGGTATTTCTAAATCAAAAGTGCAGAAAATTAGAGAATTGCAATCTGCCATGATCAGATACGCAACAGTCAGCGAGCACAATTATCCATGCAGATGATTTTCCAGAGGTATGCTCGCAAGTAAGAACTTAAAAGCGCAAACCCTATCTTTGAGTATAGTTTTTCTTTTCTGAAATTTCTTCTTAGTGTGTTCGTTTTTCTTTTTTCAACAGGAACAAGAGAGGGAGATTATTCTGGGTGTCCATGTTTGTGTCTGCAAAGATCACATCAAATTAGACCAGATCAGGATGAAAAAGAGAGTAAGGTACAGGATGATAAACCTTTGTTTCCAAGCATAACAGGGAAACCTTCAAACTCTACAGTAGGCCTCGTGAACTAGATACATCGCAAATTTTACCTACATTAAATTAACCAGTCAAAGTGGTTTATTGATGAGGTGTGGCCTTAGGAAATGATGTACTTAGTCAACATGAAAACGTTTCAAACTCGTAGGAACCTGATCTACTGTTGCTGATTCTTTTATTAAAAACTTGTCACGGCGGCAGCCCTTGAAATGCAAGTGGATGGAAGGGCTTTTACGTTTGGGCCTAAATAAGTTAAGAAATATTTCAAGAAGACTAAATTTTTAACACTTCATTCTGAGGAATAACAGGCGAGCAAACCTTTCGTATCAGATAAGATATGAGTTTGGGGAAAGGGTTCGGGCCCTCAGAACCCTCTTCCTGGATCTGCTATTGATTATTGTGCCTACCCAAAGTTATCTTTTTTCTGTCACTTGTAGATGATAGCAATTTCAATTATTGCTAGATGCAAAGTTTCCAATAACTTTTTAGTCCTTTAGCATTTCTTTCCTAAATCAGACATTGACGATTTTGCTTAAATTGTAGGGTCCCGGTCCGTCAGGTCTAAACAGGAAAGCAGAGTCACCAAAAGGAATAAGAACAAGTAAGGCGTGAGAAATAACTGATAAATCCGCCTCGCAAGGTGAAAAAAGACAAAATACTTTCAGTTCGAAGATAAACATTTTTCCAAGTTGTTTCTCGGCGTGAAATAGGTGCTGCTGCACTACGAAAGTTTCTAAAATACCAGCGCAAAACCAAAACAATTTACCCCCCCTGGAGATAGCCTGATGAAAAAGACATCGACATCTTGAGTAAAGGCTCAAGTTATTGTTAGAAAGCTCTACAACAGGGAAGGCGGTAACTTATCCTAAACACCCATAACTTAATCGCAAGAAAATTGCTGACGACACACGTATTTCCTCCTCTCTTAGCTTTAGATACAATCCAAATGTCACCGCCTGAAAAGGAACATATTCACACGCCAGTGAAGAATTATTTACAAGATAAAGAGCTGGGGGTAATAAAGCTGAAAAGCTGAATTTGAATAATATTATGTAACCAGAACCTATCATCCTGTTACGAAATGGATAGGTGGAAATTAACTGCACAGCGCCACACACTGAGCGAAAAGCACTTAGGACTCTATTTCTTTCTTGTAAGGTATTCTCTAATATTATAAATTCCGCTAACTATTACTTACAGCAATTCACTTCATTCACTTCTTTGATCACTCTCTCCGGGCTGTGGCTCTAACTAACTAAAGTCCATAGTGTTGATGCACATAGTAATTTACTATCGGCAAGTGCGATTAGGCATGCGGGTCAACTGACCTAGGAAGATTAAACATTCCTTATCAGAAGATTTCTGAAAACATTTTACACCAGAATCTCATGAATGAAGAACAACGTCCTTAAAGCTTCCGTGCAAACGATGAATCATTGACTTCGAAAGCCAAACAAAAACTTAAGTGTTGCTCTAAGGAAAGGTCAGTAGGCAAAGTATGCACGTCCACCGATCTAGATTAGACAAGAAGTCACAATCAGGAAACTCATCCAGTAATAACCATAGTCCAGATAACTTCGAAGTTTTACCTCAAATCTTAACTAAGCGCTTGGTATCAACACAGCAAAAATGCTCTCTTATCCTATGACAATTAACCAAGACCCTCCTGCACTTTAGATATGAGGTAGAAAAAGAAAGCATAACTCATGATGGCCATATTTACTAGTTGCACATTTCGTTAGAAAAGAATATAGATTAATCATAAATTAAGCTGGATTAAAAGATAATTTGTTTTTCTTGACTTTGATCGTGGTTTCTGATTGAAATTTTTTTCTTTCGTCAGAAATATGCAGCTGGTTTCGTTGAAAATGGATATGAACTCATGATGGATTTAGCTGGATTACAAGAGGAAGTAAGTTTGACCTTATGATAATTATGAGAAGCCTCAAAAGCGTTCGGATTGTACAGACTGGCCTAACGATTGTTGGAAATTAAGGTTTCAAAATTGATTCTATATTATTTTTTTTTCTTATTACTAAAAAGGTATGAACAGTCCTTTGTCTACCACTAAAGTGACAAAGCTCTGCGATCGGTTCATATCGATTGTCAGCTTCGTGTCTGTTAAAATCGTCAACTCTCACTGTGAAGGATCCTGAAATCACATTTTATAAATTTCCAACTGATAGATCTGTTTTTCGAGGAGAGTATCCTGTCTTTACATCATAACCCCCATCTGCTTTGTCTAAAGTAAATCAAAGTCTTAAGCCTGCGTAGAAAATTTTCTGAACTCCTCAGGGAGGGGAGAAGTACAAATCCTCATTCTGCAGACTTTGCTCTACTTGCTAAGCAATATTTAGTTTAAAAAAAAAATGTTACGCAATTCTCCTAGAGGCAATTTATAGATAATACTTAACGCCAATTCCCACTAAAACATATTTTTTTTACTTTGTATTACTGAACTTTTGAGCTCTTCAATGCTGTCGGTTTTCTTTGGCTTTCTATTAAAATGGAAATTGTCCATTATTTTTATGATATTTCAGGATCTCAAAGAAATTGGTGTAGAGGAAGCGGATACTGCAAAGCTCCTGCAACACATAAAGAAAATTCCTTTGGTTAAGATCAGTGACGACATTCCAGTAAGTTATCTAAACAACTGTATTTGTATCTACTAAAGCAAGGAATCAAACCAATATGACCGACAATCAAAGAAAGGAAACTTGTGCCCATTTCTTCCCGAAATATTGATTTTCAACTCGTTGCACGCGTTCGCATGGTTTTGATCAACCCACTTAATTATTCATTTAGTAAAGAAGCTTTACAGTTTTTATTGCGAAAAATGAACCAACTAATCATTAATGTTGGTAAATGAGAATACAAAATAGTTGCTATCGATAGAGGATATTTGAACGTGTTGATGTCTTTAATGCATTTCTATCTTCAGGGAAACGTTAGAGACTGGTTAGTAGAGTACCGTCTTGAAGAATATTGGCACATGTTTGAATCAAAAGCATGTACAGATCCAGAGGCTCTTCAAGATTTAAAAATGAAGAGTGAAAGGAACCCGAAGCAATACTTGAAAAAAAAGTTTGAAATCGAAAAACCAGGCCATTTAAAGAGGCTTATTGAGGCTCTTCACAGTTTACTTCCTTCTCCTGGTACGTACGACTTAAGAAAAATAACATATTTCTTCACCTCAGGTTGAGGTATTTAGGATACCTATATCTTGTCGGTCAAGGCCGCAAGTGATATCATCGGCCCAAAATTTAATGAATGGTAATTATGTTTCTCTACCTCACGCTAACATTATCTGAATGTGACCTTTCCGCTTGTCTAGTGAGACTTGAACACTTAGATTACGAGCTCGAGAGTTCTATCGCGAGTTAGGTTAATGAGGCTTTGTCCTTGTTACCTATTACATTTAGAAATAGAGAGTGACGTAGTTGATTGTTCCTCTCTGTCCCTTAGCATGGAACAAAGTGGCCAATTAGATTGCAGTATTTTGTGATAGAATACGAGTAGATTTATATTTACTACGAGCAAATTATGATTCCAGAAAACTCATGCTATATTGCAGCGTATTTTTTTCTAGAAAATTCTTTGTTTTCGCTTTCCTATGTCATTAAAAGTCATCAAAAGGCGATGAGCAAGGTTCGGACAATCGTTTGCTGCAGTAAATATTAAGAAAGTTATTTTCGTAATTAAGCTAAGGCTCTATGAAAGGAGGCGCTCGTCAGTCATAATTTGGCTTTGCCTTTGATTTTCTTCATTTTTGTCCGGTGAAATCTCTCAAAATTTTCACAAGTTGTGAAATTGTCTTGCCCGTCATTTCAAAGCCGAAAAAGTAGGGGCTACAGAAGCAGTTTTCTCGCTATTTGCAATTTTGTGTTTTCTTCCTCTATCTAAAACTTGGTAATTGCTAAGTATTCTTGGTTCTTTCAGAGATGAAGAAAATCAGCTTCACGAGTTGTGAGTTGGACAGAGTTCCTTTTGTCGAATGGGAAGATTATGATGAGATGAGGAAGGAAAAGATCTACTGGGAAGGTTTACTTCCAATATGCCTTACTCCGGATGACAAGTCCTATGAGTCAACCACTTTTGGCCAAAAAAAACTCCGGAACCTTAGGATGACAGTTCTGTGGGTTTTCGGTGTAAGCGACACTTTGTGGATAATACTAGTATTGACTCTGTTTGTTCATAGAGACCAGGAGAATTTAAGTTTAGATCTCATCAGTTTTCTTATTGTCTGTGGAGGCATATTCGTGGTGCAGTTTTTAGCCCTCCTGTGCCATCGCGTTCAGGCATTGGTTTTTTTTTGTCACGTACACCTTGGACTGGAAATAATAGAGAAGATGAGAAAAAATAAAAGGAAACATGGCAAAAATGATATTAGATGGAGGAAAAATAGGAAAGAGGGTTTTATATCCCATGCTTAATTTTTTGGTTGTTGTTTATTTCAAGAAAATTGACTTAACAAGCTGTGCGGTACAGGAGAAAGTCGTTTCCCATCAACTTCAATTGCCATTGTGTTTAGGCACTGATTAGCCATACGCTTGATATAAAAAGTCAACTAGCACACAGTAGATAGTATTTGTGCTGTAAATTCAGAAACTTATTTGCATAATTGAGGCAATTTGAGAATGAAAGTCCAATATCATTTTATGAATCCGCAGGTTAATGATTTCATGTGGGCTTTAAACTCAAAGATCAAATAAATGACATCGACAAAGATACTATATCACAATGACAATAACATACATTTATTCTATACTTGCTCTTCTTGGTTCTGCGATTATGGTTGTATCAGTTATAGCGACCAAAGTTATTTATTACAGAAAAGAAAAGGGAAATCGAAAATAATTCGTCCAGAAATTGCCGGATGGCAACAAAAAGTAGAGAACAGTCGAGTAAATAATCATAACAAAAAACTTTTTTTCGCGGATATCCCACTCCCCAAGCTGAACGAATCTCTATAGCTTCATTCTAATGTTTTGATTTGAATATCTAGTGGACCAGCTTACCAGCAATGTACTGATAATTGGTCGACAATTTCTTCTCTTTTGTACTAAAAAAGTTTAATAATACTATTAGGCAGATGATTTTCATGTCGAAAGTTTGCGGATGTCCATTGCATTACCCACTTTCGGATATCTCAACTCTCTTTCCCGAAGGAAAAAGTTTCAGCTCAAGATATTTGCTATTTAATATTAAGATTTTAAAATGTGGAAATGGAAAGCGAAGCACTCCTCAATAACGCAAACATAGTACGTTGAGATGCATGTTTATTATCAACTTATTCTACGCCCTCAGTCGGTAAACTGTACGGTAGGTAATTTAGTGTTAACAACTGGGTTGAAAACGTAAATTAGCCACCGTAAAGGGTAAAAAAGCTGACGTTTCGAGCGTTAGCCCTTCGTCAGAGCAATTCGATTGAATCGCTCTGACCAAGGGCTAACGCTCGAAACGTCAGCTTTTTTACCCTTTAGGGTGGCTAATTTACGTTTTCAACCCAGTTGTTAACACTAAATTACCTGCTATACTCTCCCACCGACGCAGCACCACAGTTTCTTTAGAAACTTACCCCTTTATTCAAACTGTACGGTAGGTTACGTTAAAGTGAGGATGAATGAGTCCATCCAGTCACTTAAATGTCCAGAATTTATTTTGCTCATCGTTTAGGGATCACAGGATTTTGAAGAGAGATAATTCTTTTGGAAGCTCTAGTACCTCTAAGAAATGGCGGTATTTGGGAGACTTGTAATTCAATCGCTTTTAGTGATCGTGTCAGCTCATTCAAGGTTGGCATGATGTTTTGAACAAAAACGTTACGATCAGTCGTCGTAACGGGTACCTGCGCGATAAATTTCCCTATTCAATGAATGTGGTATTTGAGCAGTTTTGTTCGGACGGGGTTTTTTTGCCTGAGGTTTTTTCTATTCAAAATATCAATTTCAAAACGGACAACTATAAATATTTATAATGACTATTGTTTGTATTAAAATCACTGTCATTATTCAATATTATTATCCGTAACATTAATTTCATCATAACTATTGCATGACCATTTGGCGTGCGTCTGTGGCCCTCTTCTGATCGTGAACAATTTTCTTCTAAATCAAGCACGTAGGTCATATAGACAAACCAAACGAGTTTTTATGTCTGGACTAAAAACTTAGACTCGTGAAGGATTTCAAGGCTAGGCTGTTATTAATTTTTAGTTCCCTTTTCCATGCATAGAATCTCCTAAACGTAAATATCTTCTTAAACAAGTATATTATTAAACATCGAGGGAGGTAACGGAAATTGAAAAATTTCCCTTATGTTACACGCAAAGAAAAAATCTCTCCTAGAGAGAGTCAAACAAGGAAGTAAGTTGTAATTCAGGCTGTTTTTAGCTTGCAAGAGGTAGATCCCTCTTATCACCGATTAGGCAATTTTCTGTTCTTAAAGAGTAACACAATTAAACTACGATCTTACTGCATTCCTTTCGTTCCGAAATCTTCAAAATGAAAAAAAAAAATCATTCCAGCTGCAAAATCGACCTTGTATCCATCCTTTATTTTCTGGCAACACTGACATGATTGACAGGCCACGTCATTAATGACATTTAATACTGGAACTTGAGATTTTAGCGTGGCGTCTCTTTAGCTAGAGCCAAGCAACGAAGGAAAGAGCGAAATAGACGTTCTTCCTCGTTTTTTTTTAAATGTTTAAAACCATCGACAGTGGCAACATGTCAAGTATGACCCCGGATGAGCGGAAAGAGAGGAAATTTAAATTCACGGCAAAGAAACGACCGAGGCGATCGGTGTCAAAAAAGAGCAGCGAATCCAAATATGGTGTATTCAGATGCGCCATAAAATGGCTAGTGGCAGTTATAGTATTTTCGGCCGTCTTGGCGTGTCTTGTTACCAGCAAGATTTGTTTGTTGGTTCTCGGGCAGCATTTGAAAAGGTCCAGTGAATCTACAGCGAATTCCACCTTGGCAATGGAATATTCTTCCGAAATAAACAAACAGGCACTGTTTTTGATGCTCGTTCTGACCTTGATGATCCCAGAAGCTGCCTGTTTAATACACGCAAGTTGGACAAGTCTGGGGAAAAAACATCGACCATGGCCGTCAAAGAAGGCATCTATGCTAGTAAGTTTTTACTTCTTTTCTAGACGTTAGAAAGTATATATTTGAGGGTTACATATGCCTACTTGCCTTAGTGAAAATATGCAATTACACAAAAGCCTTCAACGTTTGATGAAAATTTGAATTTATATTTATGTTGGCATGATCCTCTAGACTCTTAAGAAAGATGTTGAAGCTATAAAACAAAGGAAGCATAATTCAATGTCCTGAAGTAGGCTCGCTCTTTTAATTGTTGTGAATGTATAGAACCGCAAATATTTCGCTATGCCAAATTATGAGAGTTGCCAATAATAGGCAACTATGGTCCTTATCAAGGCTAGCATAATGACTCACTAGGTTCCCAAAACACTCTCCAGGAGAAAATATTGGAATTTCGAGGAAAAAATTGCACAGCAACAAGTACTATGAAACTAGTGATGTTTTCTTATTCAAAGTGCTACTTTAAACAGTGATATATATTTAACGTTTTTACCGAACTGCGACATCATCAGACCAAGAGTCTTTTAATCCTAGTTGTTCGTATGTTTTGTTTGTTTGTTTTGCTGCTGTGGTTGTTGTTGCTTCCTGGCGCAGTTTTTTCTATCAGGAACTACAGGAATATAAGATCACCAGTGGTTGAAAACTTCCTTCTTATTAGAGAAAGGAGAATGGCTGCGCACTCAGTGTTGCATTCATTTCCCTCCAAGTCATTTTAATTATTTACTTTGATCAGATTTGCTGATTTTTACTTCTGATTTACATTCTTCATACCACCCTATGTTTTGAGCGCTACTGCCACTGGAAAGTGCTCACTCTGAGAATTTGGATCTGTTTTAGTTAAGGCGAACTCCTCGCAAATATTGCTAGAAGTCAGGTAGTATTTGTGAGTATTCAAAATTGCAGACGCTCTTTTCCAATTGATGTAAAAATGCTCAACTACTTCGGAAGGCCAAATTATCGATGCTACTCATGGTAGGCAACTGAAATCGTTTTCAATCGGATGGGAAGTATGAATAAGTAGTCAGCACTAATAATTACATACAAACTTCTCACACCATCTGATAATTACGGCTTTATAGGCGAGACTAAATACAGTAAAAGACGATAGTTGTTTTATTGCGGGTTAAAAAAAAGCGGTGTCAAAGTGATATTTTCGAAATCATTATTAATGCGATATGGAGGTTTATATTTTTTTAAGAAATATGAAGGAACGGGTCATTTTCTTTCTCTGTTCGAATGACCAGGCTTAATACTTACCGTAAGTTCATTTTGTGAAAACGCACATGAATTTTTTTACTTGGCTAATGATACTAACAGTATGAAAGGCGCGTGACACGCATGAATCTATTAATGGCCTTGCTCACTGCATAATCTCTGTTGCTCGGTGGTAGAAGCCCAAGGGCAAATTCCAATGGTTCAAGTTTCGTTTTCTCTTAAGAAACTCGTGACCAAACGAAGAATGTGTTTCTGTATTCCACGAAAAACCTCGAAGTTAGCCATCAGTTTCCTATTCTAGGAATACATATATTTTTGCTTTCTCCAGGAAGGCCGTGCCTGATCAAACGTAACCCAATTATATTTCCAATCAGACGATATTGATTTCGTGAGGAGTTGACGAGGTCATTACACTTCTATCTCGTAGAAATATGGCTTTTTTGTAGGGGGTTCATCGGAAATAAGTAAGTCAGAGGGTTTCTTTGATTAAACGATGATTTATAACTATTATTGCCAGTTTTATTACCATTGCTTTTACTTTCTCCGCCATTTTTCCCAGGACTACTTGGCATGATTCTGTGTCAGCCTCTTGATCGTGATAAACTCTCTACAAACCACATATAAAGCCGGGTCAAATGGACGAACAAAAAGCATATTGTTCGTGGGGCAAACTTTAGACATGCGATGCTTGCGCGGCGAAACTTCTAGAGTTTTTCAGTCAATATAAACCCCTAAATTATTATAGAACGAAATCGTAGAGTCTCTTCAAAACCTTAAAATGAAGCAATGACTTAAATTAAAATAGTTGCCCTATATTTGACTAAACATGAAACAAGGAAGTAAGTTCTAATTAAAGCTATTATTATCCTTGCCAACATTAGGAAAGGCAATTTTCTATAAGAAAATATTGAAAATAGAGTGTATCATTGGCGATCTTATTAACTTCATTTCGTCTCAGCATCGTCCTAAAGCAACCGATGCATATAGGATCGATCCTCTTATTCTACGCACTCTTTTGGCAGCATTTTAAATATTCGAAGGGCAAGGTTTGATATTCAAGGGTAAAAGTAGGTATTATAAATTGGCTTCTCTACTTTGACAAACAACGGGAAAAGTGCGAGAGAGACCCTTCTCATTGCCGAAAACCATCGGCTACCGCGAAGGATAAGCAGAACTAAGAATACATAGCAGTCAAACGATCAAAACTGTCTGAGTCAATTATGAGCAGCAACTAAAAAGCAGTGGATTGATTTGCGTGTTGAAGTGAATATTTGTTGTCACTGTCTTTGCGGCAGTGCGATGACGTTTTTTTACAACAAAATTTGTTGACTGGTGCTTGAGTAATGAAACGACAGTCAATTCAACCCAAACTACCTAATTTTTGTCCCTAATAAATCACACAGGCCTTGTTTGTGATCCTCCTTCTGGAATTACGGGACTTATTGATTCCGTAGTAGCTAAATATTAGTATTCAATTACATCGTAATCGCAAACTGGGATTGTCTTCGACCGAAAATTGTCAATTTTCGGGGAAATATTTTGTAAGGAAGCATGTAACTGCAATGGTAACTAAATATGTAGGTAGTTATGCTGACTCAACTATTGGATTGATACATATGAAACGAGAAATCTGTAGGTGCTGTTGAGCCCATGTTGTGGTGGAGATGCAAGGATTACTGTTTTTTTATTCTTTTTTTATCTTTAGACAAATGGTTTACCCAAATTGCTTGAATTTAAGGAATTTAATTTCACAATTAAATCAAAACACACGACTTTATCATGGAACATGACCTAAATATCGTGTACATTACAATGCACGTCCACGATGGGTTTCTATTGGTAAGAACTTTAAAGGTCAACCCATTCCCTTTTTAAAGTTTGTACGTGGCCTCCTGTAAGAGGATAATTCCCCTCTTTAAACTAGAAAAATCGTATCAATAAAGCGGTCTACCGTTACCTCGTATGCGGTCTTATCTTAGCAGGCGCAATGAACTATCTTTCCGTAATAATGTTCAGACCTGACAGCGCTATTGGACCCATGATTACTAAGTTTGATTTCTGAAAGTAATGTTTTGTCGTTAAATCAAAGTTATTGTTTATCAGAGTGATACCTTATTTTTTTCTTCTTTGGCATTCAATAATGCCCTCATTTTGACCAGCTTTAAATAATAAGTAATTTTCCTAACACTGCAGACTTTGGTTGGTGGATTCTTTGAAGCTTCCTCGCTCTGTTATATCACAGTGGTTATGGTGACAACGCTGCCAGTGAGCCCTGACTTTCTCGTGGTGCTTATGTGCAGTATAGCCGGGTTGCCGTTAATGTTGCAGAAAGTCTACAGAAAAAAATGCCAAAGTGGCCAACGTGAGCAACGTGAGCAACGTGACCAACTGAGCGTGTGGGATATCATGATATCACTAGTGTCTACCCTTTTTTTTTTTGCTGGCAATATCATGCTGTCTTTAAAGGTAACTTCTAAAGGCTTTGCGTTTCTATCTTACTAGGTCGAATTTCCTAATTAAGTAAGGGTAGTTGTCTTGCTTTTAGTCTGCTATAAATCTTTAGTGAAGAGCTCATGGGCGATCTAACTTAGAAAATGAATCATGAAATAATAACTATGCGTTTCCCTTTTCCTTACAAGGATCAGGTTTCCTGACTCGAAATAACTTTTTATAAAGTGCGGCCGATTCTGATGCATTTTAGTCTGTGATAGATCTTCATCGAAGTGGTGAGGAGCAATTGAACATAGAAAATGAGTCATTTCTAATGCCGCCACACAAAGGACTCAGTACTTTTTTTGGACATGCGACACAAGAAAGGAGTCAGTTTTACCATGCTTTTGTCAGCTATAAGGCTGCATCTGGTTTTGCGTCTAAAAAGTATGACAGTCCTATGAAAATCTCATAACGATTTTTTTTCAAGAAAAATTTTATAGTGAAGCTTTTTCATAATCATCAAACAAGAATTTTCTTCTATGTTATTTCTAAAGGTGGCTGACCTGAAAGGAATAATTTTGGCTGAACTTTCCCTTTTCCTGCTGTCAATTGTTTGGTCACCTACGTTTAGAAAACTCCAAATTCAAAATGAACATCAGGAAGAGAAAAGAGAGACGAAAAGGGAGAAAAGCACCGAGATGGCGGAGGAATGCGTTGATACGTTACAAAAACCAGGAATTAGTTCGAAGGAGGCATTCGTGGCAAAGCCTGTCTGTGAAGAAATTCTCAGTAGAATCAGTAACAGCAGTGAAGGATCCTTGCAGAGTGAAACCGGACCTCCTTGGTTGACCAGAACAGCTCAAGCGAAAACGGCCGTTATTTCTTCCCTTTGTAAACTATTCTTCATACCTGTAATGGCAGTTGCATTTTCAAGTGTTTATGGCATTGTGAAATTTAATACCTTTGACGGATTTAAGGCCATAACAATGTCAAATCCGTCATGTTTGTACTTCATATTCCACATTTTGGCCAGCTTCTTCGGCTACCATTTTGGATGGATCGCGTGTTCTCTTCGGATGCAAAAGGTTGGACTGGCTCTTCCCTTGACACTAGCAACACCAATCGCTGTCATCATAACCCAGTTTATAGGGTTTTGCGAAACAGAAACAATTCCCCCACCATGTGCATCAGGAGACATACACTATGTTCTTGGTGCGGGACTCCTTCTGTGGTTAGCACAATGTTTGGGAACCACGTACAACCTGTTTAAAAGTCCAGGAAAGATTTTGGGAAAAGTGTACGACTCATTTTGGATTCCTTGTTATAATGGTAAGTTTTTTACAATCATTTCTTATCAAAACTGAACTACTTTCAACTATTTTAACTCATTGTTTTTTGTAAACCCTTAGGCTTATATAAGGCTCACACGAATTTCAATAGAAAAAGTTACTGAAAACGAAAATTGACCAGAAAAGTTCTTTTTGGTGTTAAGCAGATACTGGTCTCGTTTTAAACTTAACTGAAGCGTAGACCAGTACGTGCAACTTGAATCACACTTGTACTACCATCTTTTTGCAAGGTGAATCAAATAGCTCTTTTTTAACTGAGTGGGATGCTCAGTATAAGAAATTTAATCGGATCAATATCAGTATCTGGGCAACTGCCCACCTACCCCTCCCCTAACCCAACAACAGTCTATTGATAACAAGTTAGCGTTAATGTTGGGTTAGGGGAGGGGTAGGTGGGTAGTTGCCCAGATACTGATATTGATCCATTTATTCTTTATATTTTCAGGTGTGTGCCTTGAACAGTACTTGCTGACGAACAAACGAAACCTCTCATTTGACGAGGAATGCTCTTCACAGGAAAATGTACCAGGTAAAAAAAAGGCCTTCTTTTATATTTCTAAAGATATTTGTATAATTTTCTTTTGCTTGATGAAATTGTCTAAATGCTAAACATAACGCTAAGATGACCAGAATACGAATTTTTCATCAGCTTCTAACCAAAAGGACAATGGATTACATGTGTTCATCTGCACTACAATGTATCACGAGAAAAGGGAAGAAATGGAACAACTTCTGGAGTCAGTTTACGATGTCCTCAAAAATAACAAATCAGGGCACCATTTTGAGGCACACGTGTTTTTTGATGGGTGCCTCAGGACAGAAGAGCTTAACAGCTATGTACTTCAGCTGGCTTCGTTGGTGAAAAATACTCTAAAAGTGAAAGAACTCAGCGACTGTATTAAGGTTGAGACCCACTTTGGTATGCAGCTTAAGTGGAAACTTGAATTAGAACAAGAGACATCCTTCACAATACACTTAAAAGATAATGCAAAGGTAACTAATTCAAATTTAAGAATTTTGATTTGGTTCTTTTCACGAACGCATTCAGGAGAGAGCTCAATTTTTTTGTTGTTGGCCCAATCACAGGTGAAAAATAAGAAGAGATGGAGCCAAGTAATGTACATGTCATACGTTCTGGATTTTAAAATCGTCACAGAAGAATTAGAAGACGACCAATGCTTCATTCTCGCAACAGACGGCGACGTTAAATTTACTCACGAGTCTGTTGAAGCCTTAATTGATCAAATGTGTGAGGACTCTAGAACTGGCGCAGTATGTGCTCGGACCTATCCCCTTGGAGAAGGACTTGTCTATTGGTATCAAGTATTTGACTATGCTATTGGCCACTGGTTCCAAAAGGTTTGTGTATTCATGTTAGCCACAATGAAGGTACAATGATTACGTTTGAGTCACAAATTTAGCTCGGCCTAAAAGTCTCTGAATGTTTTCCCACCTTGCTAATCCGATACGTAGCTCAAAACAACCCGTTTTGAGCTACGCCATGATCCTTCCTCTCATTCTTAAAGTTTTCAACAGAACAATTAAAAAGGAGCAGAAAGGAAAGATAAAAGACAAGAAATCATCCATTAATTAATACGCTATTTTGATTTTAGGTGACCAATCATATGCTCGGCTCAGTCTTGTGTTGTCCAGGATGTTTCAGCTTGTACAGGTGCAGGGCTGTGAGGGATGTTTTGCCAAATTATGCCACCTGTGCAGACACCGCTTTTCAGTGTATTACCAAAGATATGGGTGAGTTAATTTAAACCACGAGAAAAAGGGCTTATCACCAACCTGTAACGTTTCCTCCCTTCCTCCATCTTCCTAAGCTTTTTCTTCCTCTGCAGAATTTCTAAAGATTCAATACTTTTCTGGCCCATTAGAATAAATTGAAAGAGATTCTCTTTAAATACTTACGTTATTTGCACAAGATCATCATTATAACAACACTACATACTGTAACGCAATTAATATAATCCTGAGCGGGAAGTCTCAGAAGCCTTTTTAGGCTTATCTAGGAGACCCCCTTTACTACCTGATAAGACAAGTCTGGCGGTCAATGATTACAGATCTTATACATTGATTTACAGATTCGTGAGTAAGTTGCATTGGTATTGAATATATTTCTATAAACTATTCGTTAGAATATATTTTTTTAATTTTCGCTTAAAAGTCGATTTACACTGGATATTTTTTAGATCACCTGGTAAGCTGTTGTATACATCAACTCCTTTAAAACTAATGCTTAATTTCCTGAGGTTTGTTTTGACACAAGGCTTGTGTAATTTTTTGTTTGAACGAGTGTTGTGGTTGTGAACTTCTTCATTAGTCCTAAAAATATTTTTCGATGAAATAGGTAATTGATTATTTGAAAATTTTTTCATTAAGATAGCAATAGTGTAATAATTAACTTGATAAACATTCAGTATCTTCAGATTATCAAATGATGGTTTTGAGCTGTGATTGTATTCTTTGAAGGTTATTATTCGTACAAGTTTCTTTTGCAGTTTTTATATTTTCTCGAGATGAGTCTGATATGCATTAGCCCATACAACATTGCCATAAAAAATATAGGGGTAGATCAGGGCATAGTAAATTGATTTCAGTAACGATCTAGTTACAAATTGCCGCGCTTTACATAATATACCTGTTAGCCTTGATATTTTGTTTGCAACGAAATTTATGTGTTCTTTCCACTTCAGTTGGTCGTCAACTATTGTTCCAAGAAATTTTGTGCTTTTTACTTGAGTAATATAATGATCTTTGATTTTTATACTTAGTTGTTTAGTGTTTAGTTATTTTTTTGCTTGATGATTTAAACAGCATGAAATTCGTTTTTGTAATATTAAGTGATAATTTGTTCAGTTGTAGCCACGTATTGATTTTAATTAGTTCTTCATTCATTTTATCTATCAGCGTGTCTCGATTTTTATGAGACATCAACAAATTTGTATCATCTGCAAAGAGAATGAAGGATAATTTTTTGAACTATTGCAGATATCATTTATATAAATTAAAAACAGGAGAGGACCTAGAACTGATCCTCGGGGAGCTCCACACGTTATTTCTTGTTTCTCTGATATTTCATTGTTGTATCTGACGCACTGATATCTCTGTGTTACATAATTCTTAAACCATATATATGATATCTCTGTGTTACATAATTCTTAAACCATTCTAATGCAATTCCTCTAATGCCATAGAATTCCAGCTTTTGAAGTAGCAGGCTATGATCAACTGTATCAAAGGCCTTAGACAAATCCAGAAATACCCCGATGACAAATTCTTTGTTATCTACAGCAGTCGTTATTTTATTGATCAGGTCAATAAGGCGAAATTTGTTGAGTGATTTCTCCTGAATCCAAACTGATGTTCACTAAGAAGGCATATTTTGTTTAAGTGATTCAATAATCTTTTGTACATCATTTTTTCTAATATTTTAGAGAAGCAAGGTAATAAAGAAATAGGTCTGTAGTTGTTGAATTCACAACTGTCCCCTGATTTGTATACAGGAATAACAATTGATGTTTTAAAGTCTACAGGTAGTTTCCTGTTCTGAATGTGAGATTCATAATATGTGATAATGGTTCACTCAATTCTGTTGCTAACTGTTTCACTACTTTGGGCACGATGTTATCGTGTCCACAGCTTTTTGATGGGTCAAGATTTTCTATTTCTTTCTTAATTTCACGTTCACAGACAGGTGTCAAAAACATTGAATCCATGTAGTGTCCCTTCAAGTAACTAATGAATGACAAGTTGGTAGCAGTTATTTTCTTTGCAAGGTTAGCTCCGACATTAACAAAATATTCATTGAATCGATTAACAATTTCCCTTTTGTCAGTAATACGCTCATTATCTTTTTAAATTCTGTAGAGCTAACAGTATCCTTCTTTTTTCTACTGATTACTTCATTTACTAATTTCCATGTCTGTTTTATATCACTTTTAGCAGTGTCAAATTTTTGCTCATAATATCTCCTTTTTAGAATATTTTTTAACTTGTTCAGACGGTTGCGATAATATTTGTATTTTGTTTTTAACTCTTCATTTCCATTGTTTAAAATCTTTTTGTATAGCTTGTTTTTAATTTTAGATGATTTGATGAATCCCTTTGTAATCCAAGGTTTCTTATGAATTTTTGCTTTGTTAGAAAGATTCTTTTCAGGTATACATTTATTGTATAAGCACATGAACGTTTCTTTAAAATAAGAATATGCGTCATCAACGTCATTGATGGTCCTTAAAAATTCCCAATTAATATTTTGAACTTCACTCCGCAATTTGTTCAAAATTCCTCGAACACAATCTAAGTGGATGTTATTAATAAATATATTATCAATTAATGTTGCTGAATTTGCTGTAATTTTAGTTGGTCTGTTTATAAGTGGATAAAAATGAGAGCTATACATTTGATAAAGAAATCTGTTTACATGGTCACTGCTCTCATATTTTATGAGATCAATATTGAAGTCTCCCATAAGTATACACGTCTTATTTTCTTTATCAACCTTGTGAAGGATTGTTTTCAAGTCTGCTTCAAATTCATTAAAATTGCTGTTCGGAGGTCTATAAATTGTTCCTACGATGATTTTCTCATTTTTCCTCAGGCTAGTCTCAATAAAAATACTCTCTAAAACACCGTCTCTTTGTAAATTTAAATCATTTCTAACGTGACAATTTATAACAGAGGATATAAACATCCTTACACCCCCACCGGTCTTCGCGTTCCTGTTGTTGTTGACAAACGAGTAACCTGGTAGTTGAATTTGTGATTCATTATCAATATTAAGCCACGTTTCACTAATTCCAATCCCTGAAAATTTTGCACTAACTCCTCAAGGTATTGTTGTAGGTCGTCCAATTTATTGGTCAAACTCCGCACATTAAAATGTAGAACAGAAAAGGGAGAATTATCGGAGAAATAATTTCATATTTTGCTTCTGAACCTGTCTTCAAGATAATACTCACATTTTGTCATATCGC